CCCACCCACCCACGCCCATCTGCAAATGCAGAGCAGTATCACTGGATCCTCTAGTGAGGGATGGAGGCCATAGAGAGCAGAAAGAACTCAGGAGAGTAGAGAGTACAGCATCCCCATACCAAGAGCTAATGGAAAATTAATTTTTATGCTAGCAATATTGATTTTCTAGTATGCTGGTTTAAGCTGCACCAGGTCATTAAAATGTGATGAAGCATTTATTTCATTACAGATATTCTATGCACTCTTGGTATGTCCCATTGTGTGAGTACTGTGCAAAGCCAGCCACTCAGGCATGTGTGAGCATCATACAGGGCCTAATATATACCAGCCACCATATCAAGCTCTTCATATACACAATGTATTATTGTATTGCTTGGAGTCCTCAGCCTGTCCTATACTTTCCAGGGCATACATCTGCTTCATGCAGATTAAACTATGTGTGATGATATCAAAACATTGCTCAGCTGTTCACTCATTTCTCCTTCAGAGACATGTGAAGGAAGAAACCAAAGGACTTCAGTGTATACTTACTCACTAAAGCCAAACTTTTGATCAAAGTGATACTTCTGTATATTTACAGGAGCCTTAACAGAACACAGGACTCTTGGCAGTGTCTTAAAAAAGTGTCTGGGTCAAGGAACAGCCAGTAGTTTCCAAACAATTAAATAACAGCAAAGCTGAGGAACCTGCTCATTCTTTAGGACTCAAATGAGGATAACGGCTCAGCTCCTTCCTTACTTGTCTTACACGAGATCCACAAAACTCCTGCTAGGAGAAAATAGGATAAGGAAGGAAGATTGTACATGATTTATTTTACCCAGTTGTTGACACAAACTTGACTATAACCTGGATTAAAATAAGTGAGGCCAATTGTGTAAAAGAAATGCAGTAATTGACTTTACATTTTGAGAATGTAATTACAGTTTAAGAGCAGGTGATTTTAGAAACACAGAAAGCTCTAACGGAAGTGTTTGGTGGCATGAAACAGGAAGAATCATGGACTCATTTTTTACCTAAATATGTTACATATAGATTAGGGAGCTAATAAAATGAAGTTTCCTGGAGGAAATGCTATTTATTGGAACCTTGAGACTGTTAAGCCCCAGAACGGGCAGGTCTAAGTTTTTGACCAGCCAACATGAATTATGTATCCTATAGAAACTGTAGTCACTGTATCATGTACTAATAAGTGCTGTTCCATAAAGGTAGCTTACTCACATTTCTCTTGGGGAGAAAGTCAATTAACAGTGTAACGGCTTTTTCCAAAAATGGAGGTGGTTCTTGAAACACATCAGATGAATGAAGAAGAAAGGGAAATGAAAGATGATCCTAAAAGATATCAAAGCTGGCTGCAATTAATTCCATAATGGATTTTCATATATGAAATTTGGGAAATGTATTTTGGGTTCTATGTTCTTCCCCTTATGTAAGATCATTGGAAAACTTCAGTTGGATGCCCCTCCTGTGATGTGCCATGACCCAAATACTAAGCAGAAAGAAATTGCACAAGGCTAAGTCTTAGAAGCCTAATGTAAAATATCTTTTTAATGACAGGATGTAATTAATATACAACATAACTTAGGCTTAGTTTTTATAAAAGCCCAATGGTTTTGGCCACTGATCTTGTATGCATAAAACCCAGATTTCCAAAGACAATATGCTCACAGAAAATATATGGATTCTGAGAGGAATAAATTGTTCAAGTAGTAAAAAGCCCCAAAATTATAATTTCCTTGTTAACAAATTCTGCAGTGTATTTTTGCCTGGCTCACTTCATTGTCAGCAAGAGGATAAAAGAAACTTTTTTTCTTGATTCTTGTTGGTTTTTGCCACCACCTCTGATCCTCAATTCCCATTGTTGTGTAGTATTTAAACAGTAACCCCCAAAACTGTGGCAGAATGTGCCCCACCCCCCCCGCCAAAAACACTTCATGCCAAGGGTTTCTCCTCCTCCTAGACATTCATGAAGTTCAACAAGGTCAAGTGCAAGGTCCTGCACATGAGTTGGGGCAGTCCCAAGCACAAATACAGGCTGTGGGAGAATGGATTGAGAGCAGCCCCGAGGAGAAGGACTTGGAGGTGTTGGTTGATGAGAAGCTCAACACGACCTGGCAATGTGCGCTTGCAGTCCAGAAGGTCAACCTTATCCTGGGCTGCATCAAAAGCAGCGTGGCCAGCAGGTCAAGGGAGGGGATTCTGCCCCTCTACTCCACTCTCGTGAGACCCCACCTGGAGTACTGCATTCAGCTCTGGGGCCCCCAACATAAGAAGGCCATGGAGCTGTTGGATTGGGTCCAGAAGAGGGTCATGAAGATGATAAGAGGGCTGGAACACCTCTTCTATGAAGAAAGGCTGAGAGAGTTGGGGTTGTTCAGCCTGGAGAAGAGAAGGCTCTGGGGAGACCTTATAGCAGCCTTCCAGTACCTGAAGGGGGCCTACAAGAAAGCTGGAGAGGGACTTTTTACAAGGGCACACAGCGATAGGACAAGGGGTAATGGCTTTAAACTGAAAGAGGGTAGATTCAGACTAGATATAAGGAAGTAGTGCTTCACTATGAGGGTGGTGAGGCACTGGAACAGGTTGCCCAGGGAAGTTGTGGATGCCCCATCCCTGGAAGTGTTCAAGGCCAGGTTGGATGGAGCTTTGAGCAACCTGATCTAGTGGAAGGTGTCCCTGCCTATGTATGGCAGGGGGACTGGAACTAGATGATCTTTAAGGTCCCTACCAACCCAAACCATTCTATGATTCAAAAATCAAGGTTGTCAGTGGTATCATTTGTCTACTAGTTTTGAAATATCCAAATTTCACTTAAGACATATCAGCATTCCAGTTGTACTAGAGGGTTCAAATGTGGAAAAATCTTTTAAAAATCTGGTGAGGTGCCTGATTCAGTCTTCTGAAAACAAAGTGAATCTGTGTAATGTATGTTCTACTACTCCTCTCCAAGTTTTTTCTCTGTTCTATCAGACCTCCATACTGAAATGCTTATCTTCAGATACTCTGTTTTGTCTACCAAGTCATGCAAGCATACAGTCCTCCTGCAGTAAGCATCTGCAACAAAGCCAGCATTGGCAAATGTAATTTTGTGTTAAAACAGGCAAATCAGAGGCACACTGCAGCTCTTCGTTCATTCTGATAGAAGCAAACCTTGGAAAACCAGCTGTGTATGACCACTGATGAAAAATTAATGAAACAGATTGGCCTGTATAGAGGAAAATGCAAAGCACTCAAAAGAAAAAAAAAATTCAATTAAAATCTAAAAATAATCAAATGTTAAAGATTCCTGTAAGAATTAAATCTTTGTGCTGGATTTTTGCCAGAGGCATTGAGGAGAACTACTTTATAATGAGTACAAAACAACAGTACCCTTCTGTGTGTTTAAGTTACCACTGTAACTCCAGTTTATGAATGTTTTGGGCACTGTTGGATTAGTCACCAAATAAAAAAAAAAAGTCTAAATGTACTTGCATAGTACACTTGCATAAAAGAACAGCTCCCTCCAAATCTTAAGTTTTTTCCTCTTGGCTAGCCTTAAAAACTGAATCAAGGATTCTCTTTCTCAAGTAACGTCTTTTTCATTGCCAGTAAAACAAGATTGGTAGCAAAAGAAAACTCTAAATAGACCACATGAGGCCATTGGTGGTTCATGCTCTGAGATATGAATTCTTTTATTAGAGCTTTATCTTCTGTGATGTTTTAAGACTTGCTGCAGGTTCTTAAAAATGAATAGGAATTGTCCTGTTCTGAACTGTCAGCAGTTTGGAAACTTAAAACATCCAAGACATGTCTCAAGAAATCCAGTTGTTCTCTTTGATCCTAGATTAAAGGGCCTGTTAGAAATTTTAGAGCTATGTAGTTTCTTACACAGTTCCAATTAATATGACACTTCAGCTTTATTCTGTGACTGCACAATAATGTAGAAAACTCCTTGGAATTCCCTCATCAGCTATATTCTATTTAGAAATACATGTGTTCGTTTTATAGGAACATCCTCAACCACATTCAATACTCCGTTTATACCCTTAGGTTCAGTAATTCACAGAGCTTTAGCTTCACAGATTCTTACCAATAAATCCCCAAATGCATGCATGGCTTGATTTAAGAAAGATATTTTACTTGTGTTTCATACACAAAAAACTGATAATCAACAGTCGCTTAAAAAATTAACACTACTCCACTTTTTCACAAGTGTACAAAAAAGAAATAATGAAATTACATTCAACGGTAAAGCTTAAAGTCCACTCTAATAATAGTTGCATTGACATTCACATACACAAGCACAGAATAAATATTTCAGGATTCTTATAAGAGCATACAGCATACATACAGTACTTGAATTTTACATAATGAGTGTTAGTAGGGTCAGAAATTCATAATCTCATAGAAAAGTAAAACTAAAATCAGAAAAGGTTGTGTGGGAGGTAACACCAAGGTACTGCACAGAGCTAGCAGGTCAGTAAATCCATTTGTGTGAGGAGTTTGCTTCTGCTTCTTCATATTAGGACAGTTTGTTTGCAAAGGTGTATTCAAAGTGCAGATTAATGCAAAAAAAAAAAAAAAGGATATTCTTGTATTTACTAATACATGCAAGAGGCAGCCCCCAAGTCACCCGACAGAATAAAGCTGTTATTGGCAAGTGGCCGATATAATACAGATGTTTCAGGCAATTTTTCTAAAGCACTTTAATAGCAGCAATTGTAATTTATAATGGCTCTAGATTGACTTCTGTTTGGGTTAAAGGGCATTATATTTCTTTAACATTTACAGCTATATTTCTTTATAAATAAATATCTCAAATAACAAATAGCATAGTTAACGTTTCTTTTTTCTCTCTTTTGCATAAGTGTCGTGGAAAAACTCTGACCTTTTCAGAGACATAATGTGCAAAATAATGTTAGAGTGGAAATAGGGACACAGAGCATCACAGTCAGTTACATTCCTGGGATGTCAGCCCAGCCCTTCTTACACTCTGAGGGCTAGCCTTGCCAGGGTAATGCAGGGCTTTAAGGGACAATTTTCCCAATGGCTTGCTTGATAAGAGATAAAATTTATGGTATCTTAAAGAGCTGTAAATGTGAGGTTTTATTTGCAGGAGTGTGTACAATACGTCATGTATAGAACTCAGTATTCCCACACAGTGACTTCTCAAGATTTGAAAAGTCTGGTCATCTCCTTTCAGTCATTTCCTCCCCAGCCTGAACATCTGTGAACATTTGTGTTCATTAGGTGTTTCCTCTGTTGCATATTTACCAGCTCTTCTTGCATTTTATAATCTGATCTCATATCACCTAGCTGACATCTGCACACAAATATTTTCAATCAGATAGAGGGTGCACAACATTACAACTTTTAAACCTGTCCTGTAAGTGTCATCAAGACAGGAGCACAGGAACCACAGTGCAGAGAGTCCAACCTCTCACTGGCTGTACTGTGAAGATTCTCCTTTTCGGCGTAGGAGAAAGGAAACTTGTGTCTGCTTTTTAGATTCTGAAAACAAGCCAGAGTGGAGAAAAAGAGTTAACACCAGACTTAATAAAGCTTTTAAGACAAAACCTGTTAAGCAATTTAGACACGTTGAATTTCCGTCTGATTTTCTCAAGTCTGTACATACAGGGAATTTGTTAACAGGAGGAAGAAGTTGGGATTTGCTACATAGGAGAAATCTGCCATTATTACAAAAACTGGCTAAGTGGGTTCTTTCAGTATAAACCCCTCACTGGTCACTGTTCTCAGTGGTGCTGTTGCCCTTTTCTTTTTTCTCCTGAGTCTTGTTTCCCTTCTTCTTTTTCTTCTTTTTCTTGGTCTCTTCCTTCTTGCCAAAGGTTATGAAGTCACTTTTGTCAATTTGGCTGTTTGGTGGCTCCTGCCGGATGGAGATGATTGCAGGAGATCCTGGGATAATGAATTTGTCTGGCAACTCACCAGGACCACCTTGTTTGGGATTGCCCGGTCCAAATTTAAAGGTCCAGCTGTTGCTGTTCACACCAGCTCCCACTGGGGGGGACACCTCTCCCGCCTCAGGTTCTGAAAAAGTCAAAACAGCAAGAAAAGCTTAAAGCATCATTAAAGCACTCAGTGAGTATCAGCTTCCTATTTGAAAGCTATGGCTTTAGCCTGGCTCTACGCTGACTCTTGGTTGCCTGGCTGTTCATCTGGGTGTTATCGACTGGTTCTTGTCCAGGCTGCTCAATGTTAGCATGCACTGACTCACTCTGCATACTGCTGGGCCCAACATGCTCTGGATCCCATGTTGTGCCTTGAAATACAATTGTTCTCTATGTTTCTTTTGAATTTGAAGTGCTTGTAATAAGAGATCGCTGTGATGCAGCCCACTGTAGTGTTTTATAGCATGAAACACAAGCATGTGTATTGCATGGCACAAGGGTATGTTTGAGGGTGTCAAAAGTCTTTTGAGACAGGGTTAGAGGACTGTCCAGGGCAGGGGGAGTCAGCCTTGGCAGTATGCACACCCATGCTGGGTATCTTAGCAAACCATCCTGTCAGCTGTGTCCAGGATTCCTCATGGAGGGAATGAGTTGATGCATCCCAGAGAGGAATCTGAGAGCCAACTAGCATGTAAATATGTATGTATGAAATTCATAATCTCATAGAAAAGTAAAACTAAAATCAGAAAAGGTTGTGTGGGAGGTAACACCAAGGTACTGCACAGAGCTAGCAGGTCAGTAAATCCATTTGTGTGAGGAGTTTGCTTCTGCTTCTTCATATTAGGACAGTTTGTTTGCAAAGGTGTATTCAAAGTGCAGATTAATGCAAAAAAAAAAAAAAAAAAGATAGTCTTGCATTTACTAATACATGCAAGAGGCAGCCCCCAAGTCACCCGACAGAATAAAGCTGTTATTGGCAAGTGGCCGATATAATACAGATGTTTCAGGCAATTTTTCTAAAGCACTTTAATAGCAGCAATTGTAATTTATAATGGCTCTAGATTGACTTCTGTTTGGGTTAAAGGGCATCATATTTCTTTAACATTTACAGCTGTATGGATGTATGCAATGTGGCTGATCAGCAGACACGGCGCTAGAGCAAAAACAGGAGTGAACTGAATTGCCTGGGTAGAGATACCGCAGGACTCCTTCAATCAGTGCAGAATCTGGTCTCAGAAATATTCATAGTCTTCTTCAAGGCAAGGCTCTAACAACCTGTTCCCTTTTGCCAGGAAATAGGGTGGCTCTTGTATGAGAGTTGTAAAGTTTTTCTAAACTATGAACTTTTAAGCAAAATGGGAAATTGGAAAGGGCTGGTGCCAAATTTGCAGTAAGCTGTCAAGAATGGTTCAGAAGTAAATAATACTGCAGTGAGTTCTCAAACCGGGAAAGTCCTCACTATTATGTTTCTTTTTTCCTATTGTAATATCACAACAAAAAGGATGAAAAACACCAGACTGGTGACTAACTCTTGGTTCTTTGAATTGATATGGTAGAATGGTAGTTCATCATATTTTATATAGGCAAATATAAAGTGAAGGTCTGTTCCCAGCTTCAGACCTGCAGTATGAAGCAAGATTTTAATTTTATTTCCATGATTTTACCAAGATTGAGCTAATCAGATTGAAATGTTTATGTATGTTGTCCTGACAAGGACAATTTTCTAGCATAATGAGATGCAACACAAATCAGGTTCTTCTATGAGAGAAAGTCTTAAAACCTGGCTGTTTTCTTAAACTTTGGAAATTCTTCGTAATTTACATAACTCCCAATTTTGAATAGGAACAGCATATTCATTTTAGTGTATCATTTTAGAGTGTTTAAGGGATTGTGATCAGGGGAAAGCTCAATGCTTGTGCATTGATGCTAAAGCCCTTAAATCTGATGAAAACATTCTTATCTACACTCTAAAAGTGCAGTATCACAAACATAGGACCTGTCACACTTGTAAAACTCCTAGCCACACACAAATTATTGCAATACCACATGAACAATGCCAATATCACTGATCTGATTAAGTCTCAACATCATTGTATTCTGTATCAGAGCTGTCCAGTTGAATAGATAAAGATGTTTGGGGAAAGAAGGAGGTGGGATCTGCATTGCTACAAGGAAGGGTTGGAAAACCAGCTGAGAGGGACTCCATATCCCTTGGAAGAGGAGGCAAGGGCACAGAAAGGAGGAGAAGAAACAGAAGTCCTAGGTGTCCAGCTGGTGAAAGAGCGCAGGAAGAGGAAACAAAGTAGACAATCTAGCGGGAGATCTCCAGCATTTTGCCAGACCAGAAGATGCGGTTCAGTAAACCTCAGCTACTGACTGCTCTGTACCCCTGTAGTAGTAATGAAGCATATTGCATTTGCTTTAGCAGCCATTTCCTGAAATGAACAGCACCTCCTGTACTTCTTATTCTTTTATGAATCTTCATCTTCTATAATGTTGTTCATACAATTTTCTGTTTTATGAAATCAAATGTATGTCATGCGTGCAGACATAAGGCGCTCCTGGTTCAAAAGCTAAAGAACGCATTTTGCTGCTTGACAATCTTTCTCTTGCCTGGCAGCAAAATAACCACCACTGGAAAGCATGATTCCTTTTAAGCTTTTCCACACTTACACAGTACGTCCATGTTACAGAGCCAAAGAAATGTGTATACATGACACATCAGAACCGTCCCTGAGACCATCTGTGTAATAGGTTTGGCACATGGAATCTTTGTAAAGGAGGTGATATGACTGCTTTTACAATGTGATGTTTAATCAAGAATTAGAAGAGCCTGTACACTTCTTTTTCCCCTAAGACTGTACTTAGTGATGAAGAAGATTTGACTTGGACTTGATGTTCTTTCCAGGAACTGCTGAAGTTGTTTTAGTGACCTTAACCTCCCTAGCCTCAAATATCTTTTTTGAAGTTATTATTAATATGGAAGTTCCTCTATTTCATCTGTTGTAGCTTTTCTGTAGATTTCCTACGGTCTTAACTACCAGCTTCAGGCTTTTTACATGTTTGTTTTTGGTAATAGCAATGTCCTAGCAAGCCCTTTCATACTAAACACATTAATATGAACCAGCTTTCATTTCTGCTCAATAAAGTAATCTGGTCAGGTACGTTTCATATCGGTTTTGTTTCTTTGAGATGATAAATTACAAAGGTGAATGTTGTGTCTCTTGGCCTTTTTCCAAATTATTAATCAATTGCCTTTCTCCAGCAATACAAAAATGTGAGCTTTCATATTGTACATAATAAATTAAGCCCTATTTGACAAATAAATCCTTTCTCCTTCCCAACAAGCTCATGCAACATTCATTCCAAACAACACTGGCCCAGACCCAATGCTCTTTTCCTGTTCCTGGCAGGAAAAAAACAGCTGAAGGTGACCTCAATTTTTGAACCATCCTTGCTCTGGCTGGGGAGAGCCCTGTAGCAGTGAATTGTCCAAAAACTGCTCTGAAGTGTACAGGGTTACAACACTCTATGGATCACAGTGCCACCACAGCACACCTGAAATAACGCGGTGTGTGGTTGTGCCATTTTGATGTGACCATATTAGGCTGAAGACAGGACATGATACGACGACAGTGACTTTATATTATCCATTTTGCCACACAAATACAGTAACGTGCAAGAATAGAGGGTATCCTTAAGGTACAGCATCTCTTTTTCCTTGCATGAAAACTCTTGCCAGTCTAACAGGGTGCACATACACGTCTGCATTATTGAAATCTAATTCAGAACAGGATACTGACCCTTTAATCTGGTTCTGCCTAGACAAATCCACTCACCAGATGAAGTCAGCAACATTTATCACAAAGCCATCCGACATAATGTATCCAAACACAACAAACCCATCATATCTACCCTGGAATCAGGATTCTGTCAAACTAAGGACTAAGGGGGTTTGCTTGCATTGCTGTGTGTTTTTTTCCCAGCCCCTGAATATGTTTGCTGTCCATACAAACTAAGCATTTTAATACTCCTTAATACTTACTAAGCCAAAGGAAACTAATTACCCTTACAGCTGTGTGGAGAGCTCACATACAAAAAGCCAGAGACAGACAGAACTTAATGAGTTAATAGCCATCATTTCCTGTGAGTGGGGCTTCAACAGTCTCCTCAGGAAATTTCCCTTCTGTGTGATTTACCTGATAACATGTGTGTTTATCTGTATTGGCAGGCTGGAAGGTCACAGTTCAGCTGTATTAACAATGATGTTGTATGTTTAGGCATTTCAGATCAAGGATAAATGTCACCTACCACCTAGTTTCCAAAGCTGCT